CTGTAGTGTCTGACCTACACGCACGTTAAAATAGGGAAAGGTAAGTCGGAGAGAATATTTCAAGGTCACCTTGGCATTCATTACGTCATAATAATGTCATTCAAACTCTACTATTCCATAAGCCATACGGCGATCAAGACCGATAAGAATATAATGGTAGAGTCGTTCATATATGGCGCTTGCTAACACGATTTCCAGACGTAATGGCCGTCAGTTGGCTGTCAATCAATGTTGTGCAAGACACGAGGACATAATCAATGACGTGTCGAGGAGCGTATTTACTGAACCGAGAAATTGCGTAAGTTGTTAGTGCATTTGTGAGGAACACTATGCGCATAGATAGAACAGTAGTGACGGCCTTATTCCTCGCAGAAATGTCAGGAGAATGGAGGTGTAGATGCCTTGATGTTTCGGAAACATGCCTTCATTGAGACGAATAGCAGAAATGAATTCAGTATTGCCTGCCGATACTCCTGGTCGATTTTTTTTTTAGGCTTTTGGCTTGAAACAGCCAGCTACAACTTTTACAAGACACCAATATTTGAGGGATTATGCAAGAATAAATTGGCATGCATTACTACGATACAGTGCATATCTAAGAATTAGAATGCTCGAAAAATACATGTACATGCAAACGATTTCAAGTAGTCAGGCGTCACACCTTACGCTTCAATTATGCATGCAAGCGGGTTTAGCTCAACAGGCATCGCGCATCACGCGTCAGGCATCGCTTTTGCATGTAAACGATTCTAGGCTAGCACGCATCATGCATCAAGGCACACGTAATTTTCGAATAATCGGCCATGATGAGCCCCAAAGTGTAAACTGTGTGAAAAACATGAGAGGGACAAACGCGTCCATGTCGCGGAGTCCATGCGCTCTTTTCGTTTGAGATATACTAAACAACTGGGAGACGCTAAAAGCATAACAGGAAATACCTCTTTCGGATACCGTCTTTTTGACAAAACAGGCTTTGGCTGAAATCCAGGAAGGTATGGACCCTATGCCCCTTTTAGAGCTTGAAGTCATCTACAGGGCACAGAACCACCCAGCCAGGAAAATGAGCGAATCTGTTCTTATAAAGTGCCGGCGACCAAACCTTAACGTACAGGGCTCATCATGGCCGATTATGCAAACGTGATATGTGCCTTGATGTGTAATGTATGCTGGTATAAATCGGTTATATGCATGAGTGATACTTGATGCGTGATGCGCGATGCCTGTTCAATTGACATCGTTTGCATGTATAATTGATGCAAAGTGTGATGTCGGTTTACTTGAATTCGCTTGCATGTTTGAATGAGGCGTGATGCGTGATGTCTGTTTACTTGAGTTTGTTTACATGCACATGCCTTTTTTCTTGCATTCTTATTCTTAGTTAGATATGCACTGTATCGTAGTAATGACCGGCAATTAATCCTTGTATAATCCCCTGAATGCTGATGTCCTGTAAACACCGTGGCTCGCTATTTCCAAAAAAAAGAAAAGTAGACTTGGATCATCAGCAGGCAATTTTTAATTTAGTTCTGCAAGTCATTTCAATAAAGGATGTGGCCGAAATATCAACACGCCTATATCTCCATTGTCCTGGCCGTTCTCGGAGGAACAAAGCTATTTCTACTGCCTTAACCGATAAATTGTGTTGTCTAGTGCAGTCTTTTCCACTTAAAAGCATACGATTATTTCTAGGCGAGCTTGTCTCATATCTGATGCTCGCTTCAAGATCTTCCGGTGTGGAATATTCCCTCAAGTACACTGAGAGTTATAAATGAGTTCATTTAATCATATCTGATGCTTGCTTCAATATCTTCGAACGTGGAACGTTCCCTTTAATGGTCTGCAGTCGCAGTAACCGACAAGGCGAGCATTGTCATGTACTTCCCGCAGTGAACAAAGCACAGAGAACGCTGCATCTCCTGGACTGAGACAAACCCCGGTCTACAGGCGTAGCACATTGCAGGCTACATCACACGTGTTTGCAAGCGACTCTGAGCTGAGCTGTTTGGGGGGAGGGACCGACCATAGGTTTCGAATGAGAAGTTTTGGCTCCTCGTGAGCTCCTTGATCATGTACTTTTGTTCGGTGTTGTATGGTGTGTTTGGGAGCGCGTGTCCGTGATGTAGGCGTATTTGACCCTATCGATCTTCCAGTGCCTGTTGATCGGATTGCAAAAGCCACGTTTTCTTCTCGCCTGACTAGATTCTGCGGAAAGGCCAGACAAAATACAGTGGAGTACAATACAATATGATACAGTAGAATAATTGCAAGCTGGATCTGCCAAGGCACCAGGATGCGAGCGGTTGTGAAACGAAGACAAACAAATATTTGCCCATTCTCTAACAGTACGGAAGCTGTTCGCTGCTCTGAGTCGCGCACGACACGGCAGTGGTCTCCGGGACCACGTCAGTGGTCTCCGAGACCACGGGTCCATACCGCGGCCCGGTTAGCGCTGGGCACGGCCGAGAGGGGAGGGGGCGCGTGGGGTCGAGGTGGGGCTGTCCCAGAGCGGTCAGTAGTCGCTCCAGCAGCAGCAGCCGCCGCCGCCGCTCGCTGGCGGCAATGGAGAGTTACGAGTCTCCGGAGCTCGCCGTCCATAACGCCCCCGGCCGCGGCGCGCTCCGGCCGGAGAGGGGTTCATCGGATCGGACCGGCCTACTCGGGAGGTGATCAAATGCAGATGGAGCGAGCACAACGCAGCCTGAGGGCGGACATGTGTGCTCTGGGGCAAGCTGCAGTTGTTCGGCTTGGGCGGCCGGGTCCCGACTTCGCGAACATGTGTACTCTGGGGCAAGCTGCAGTTGTTCGGCTTGGGCGGCCGGGTCCCGACTTCGCGAACATGTGCTCTGGGGCAAGCTGCAGTTGTTCGGCTTGGGGCCGGGCCCGACTTCGCGAACATGTGTACTCTGGGGCAAGCTGCAGTTGTTCCTTGGGCGGCCGGGTCCCGACTTCGCGAACATGTGTATTCTGGGGCAAGCTGCAGTTGTTCGGCTTGGGCGGCGGGCCCGACTTCGCGAACATGTGTTCTGGGGCAAGCTGCAGTTGTTCGGCTTGGGCGGCCGGGTCCCGACTTCGCGAACATGTGTATCTGGGGCAAGCTGCAGTTGTTCGGCTTGGGCGGCCGGGCCCGACTTCGCGAACATGTGTATTCTGGGGCAAGCTGCAGTTGTTCGGCTTGGGCGGCCGGGCCCGACTTCGCGAACATGTGTACTTGGGGCAAGCTGCAGTTGTTCGGCTTGGGCGGCCGGGTCCCGACTTCGCGAACATGTGTGCTCTGGGGCAAGCTGCAGTTGTTCGGCTTGGGCGGCCGGGTCCCGACTTCGCGAACATGTGTACTCTGGGGCAAGCTGCAGTTGTTCGGCTTGGGCGGCCGGGCCCGACTTCGCGAACATGTGTATTCTGGGGCAAGCTGCAGTTGTTCGGCTTGGGCGACCGGGCCCGACTTCGCGAACATGTGTACTCTGGGGCAAGCTGCAGTTGTTCGGCTTGGGCGGCCGGGCCCGACTTCGCGAACATGTGTATTCTGGGGCAAGCTGCAGTTGTTCGGCTTGGGCGGCCGGGTCCCGACTTCGCGAACATGTGTACTCTGGGGCAAGCTGCAGTTGTTCGGCTTGGGCGGCCGGGTCCCGACTTCGCGAACATGTGTGCTCTGGGGCAAGCTGCAGTTGTTCGGCTTGGGCGGCCGGGTCCCGACTTCGCGAACATGTGTACTCTGGGGCAAGCTGCAGTTGTTCGGCTTGGGCGGCCGGGCCCGACTTCGCGAACATGTGTATTCTGGGGCAAGCTGCAGTTGTTCGGCTTGGGCGACCGGGCCCGACTTCGTGAACATGTGTACTCTGGGGCAAGCTGCAGTTGTTCGGCTTGGGCGGCCGGGCCCGACTTCGCGAACATGTGTATTCTGGGGCAAGCTGCAGTTGTTCGGCTTGGGCGGCCGGGCCCGACTTCGCGAGTTGTTGGGCTATGGCGATAGAGGCGCCACAGCAACGTGGCTCGAGGGCCTGATCACTGCATTACGCACTTTCCATTTTGAATGCCCTTTCCGTCTGTTAAAAGATGACTAAGTAGTGCTTTGGGTATCTTGTGGCACTCAGAACTGTATTTTGCAGAGTAAAAGTAAATGATGCACTCTTCCATTTGTACCTTGTGATAGATCCGTTAAACCTTTATGGGCCCACCAATCCCATCAGCCGTCACAACCACTTCAGGCGCGGTGATCACTTTGAGTGACAGTGTTTCCTGGAGGTTCACCGCGAGTGCCCGTTGTGAGTGAACTCGTGGAATGTCACATTTGACCTCCCTGGCCGTCTGAGGTGGGCATCACTCGTGTCACTGTGTTCCCTCGAGGTCACTCGCCCTGATCTCTGAGCCTCTCTGAGCTCTCACCAGCCCGCTCCGTTCCAGGTGGTCGGCCTGGGCTCTGAGCTGAACCTGCCTGATCTCTGAGCCTCTCTGAGCTCTCACCAGCCCGCTCCGTTCCAGGTGGTCGGCCTGGGCTCTGAGCTGAACCTGCCTGATCTCTGAGCCTCTCTGAGCTCTCACCAGCCCGCTCCGTTCCAGGTGGTCGGCCTGGGCTCTGAGCTGAACCTGCCTGATCTCTGAGCCTCTCTGAGCTCTCACCAGCCCGCTCCGTTCCAGGTGGTCTGCCTGGGCTCTGAGCTGAACCTGCCTGATTTCTGAGCCTCTCTGAGCTCTCACCAGCCCGCTCCGTTCCAGGTGGTCTGCCTGGGCTCCGAGCTGAACCTGCCTGATCTCTGAGCCTCTCTGAGCCCTCACCAGCCCGCTCCGTTCCAGGTGGTCGGCCTGGGCTCTGAGCTGAACCTGCCTGAATTCTGAGCTTCTCTGAACTCTGACCAGCCCGCTCCGTTCCAGGTGGTCGGCCTGGGCTCCGAGCTTCTCTGAAGTCTGACCAGCCCGCTCCGCTCCAGGTGGTCGGCCTGGGCTCTGAGCTAAACCTGCTTGAACTCTGAGCTTCTCTGAACTCTGACCGGCCCGCTCCGTTCCAGGTGGTCGGCCTGGGCTCAGAGCTGAACCTGACGGTGACGCTGGACTCCGTGGGCCGGTACGAGTGCCGCGCCGCCACCACCGGCTTTCCAGAGATCTCGCGCCAGCTGATGGTGTTCGCGCGCGCGCGACCTGAGGTCAGCGCGCGCTCGCCGCAGCCGGGCACCGCCGGTGGCACCGTCCACGTCGAGTGTGTGGTGTCGAGCGTGCCACTGCCCTCGTCCACCACCTGGTACCACTACGGCCGGCCAATTCGGACAGGTGGGTGGACTCGGCCGCGGCGCGGCGCTGCGGGCGTTTGTGGGAGCGCGGCGCGGGGCCGCAGCGGTGTGCCTCGCAGTGCTGTGGAGCGAAACGTGGAGGGGTGAGTCATTGTGCCGTCGTCCAACTTTTCAGGGATCAATCTGCCGCCAGTCTCCAACGTTATTGACCCTATGACTGTTGCCATATTTTGATGGCTTAGGAAGTGACCAAGAAACGTTTTTACGTCAAGTGTGTGCGTCGACAGAATGGGTCAATGATCCTTTTCCGGCCGCACGGCTTAAACCAGGGGCTGGTTCGCTGATGTAACTATTGGCTGGAGTTTGGCTGGATAACATGCAAACCAATTAGGATCTATTCGCTTTCTGATGGGGAGAAAAGGATTCTGCAATCACCCTAAAATTATTGGCTGTCACCAATTCGAGAACTCGTGAGCTCTGCGCACTTCATGTCAACTCGCACGAAATATTTCGAAAGTGCAGGACACGGTTGGTGGCTGTAAACCCTGGTAAGCTGCGAACAACGTGTCTGTATATTAATAGGCTCTGGATTTATCAGTTACATGCAGAATAATGTAAAGCTCGTATGGCACGATCAGGTGGGGATGTTATTGCGTAATTGTTTGCGCCGTTTGTGTCCCGGAGTGACCGGCTGTTTCATCTCCGCAAGAGAGCGTAGCGAGCTGCGGCCGCACACTCCGCGGCTGGCTCGCGTCGCGTGCCGTGCTTAGGACGCCGGCGCCGGCCGTCGAGCCGTGTCCGTGGGCGGCCGGAGCCGGGAGACGGCCGCCGGCTCTAAAGTGGCGGCCGTGATCCATCTCCGGCGGGGGATTTCCTGCCTCGCTGTCGGTGATTGCGCCGCGCTACACAATGCCGGCCGCGGCGCGGAACGCGGCTGGCCGCACGCGAATTTGAGGCCGCCGTCGGGGCCGTCCATAGTCTCCGATCGACGCCGATCCGCGTCGAGGGCCAAGACTGGCGCGGCGCAGGCCGCCGGCCGACGCCGGTGCCGCCGGCGCCGGGCCGATGGAGTGATCAGCGGGCGGCGAGCGCCGACGGCGTGAGGCTCGGGTGACAAGCGGACGTGGGACGTGGGGAGCGCCGACGGCGAGAGGCTCGGGTGACAAGCGGACGTGGGACGTGCGGGAGCGCCGCGGCCCATCTGGCGGACGGACGAAGCTGTCGCCCAGTCAGAGCCTTGCTGGCGGCTGTAAAGACATGACACCAGGAGAATGGCACCAGTAGAATGGCACCAGAAGAATGGCACCTGGAAGGTTCGGGCGGGTTATTAGTTCAGACGAAACAACTATTAGAACTTTTGTTTTTGTCGGTAGTGTTATGCCTTATGCTGTACACTTAATACTAGTGTAAGCAAAAGGGCATTTCACTAATTCGGTAATCAAGAACGAGACGAAGGCAGTGGTTCCGTAAATTGTTCTTTCTCGTAAAGACGTTCACTTTGTCGTCCCCATTTCTGGGCAGGCATGCTGCGCCGGTGATAATCGAACCAGAAATATTTGAGGCACTACCACATCTCAGAAGGTCTGCGATGTGTTTCGTCGCCCACGTAACACAGAATCCCTCTCACTACATAGTTATTATTTGATAAATTCCAGACGTGACGCAGATGCGAACGACCTTGATAAAAGTAAACTGACTTGCGCCTGCAGATGCGTGGGACGATGCCGCCAAATGACGAGCCGTATCCAGACAGCAGCCATCAGTCGCAATGATCTTATCGCCGTCCTCGCAGACGCCGGTCGCTATAAGACGGTGGACGAGCCCATTCTGGGGGGAGTCCGGAGCCTGCTGGTGATCTCCGCAGCCAAAGACTCAGACTTTGGTCTGTACAACTGCACCTTCCGCAACGAGTACGGATTCGACTCGGCGACGGTACTCCTCGAAAAACAAGGTCAGTGTGCGTGTGTTAAGCCACAGATTCTCCTGGCAGGCAGTGCGCCGGGGCGGGGCGGAAGGGGGCAATGCCGTGCGTGTCGATAGTAGTCGTTCTGTTGTTTGCCCTTTGCGGTGTCGGGTGTTGACACCACCCGACTGGACATAATGCAACATGACACATCATGCTGATGTTATCTTGTAATAATTGTGCCGAACTGATTCATTGTCAAGTCCACGTGCAGCGCATTACTTCGTTTCCTTGCTAGTTGTGGTAGACTTCTGTATGTATCCCGGTCCTCCCTTGAGTTAGGAGGCACGGGTTGTTGGGGGTGGGGGGGGGGGGGGGGAAGCAGAACTTCCTCACGCCCCGAAACTTCTTCCATATCTATCCGTCGGGTGCAATGGCATACTGGTCGGTATGCATGCCCCGATACCGGCCGGGTGCACCGGTACAGCTATGAGGGCATGCCAGGCCGTGTTGACCCGTCGGCAATGAGCATCGGCCGTCATCATTATGTCGGTGAGGACCAAACAGACCACGTCCGTCCCAGCGGCGACCTAGCTCTCATCATGTCAGTCATCTGGCCGTTATTGGCGGAGATCCCAAAAAGCGGTCTGTGGGGAAATCACGTGACGCACTCTTCCTGTAAGAAATTGGTCACAAATAAATTCGCGAGAAGTTGGCGTGACCTTTGTCTGCCCTGAGGTTCCGGCATTCTGCAATGGTGCCAGCCACGTCCGTGACGGCGAGCCGCCGGCAATAATTGAGCGGCGGCCACTGCAGCCCGCTTGTCATTCAGCGAGGCGTGTGGTGAACCGGCTGAATGTCCCCGGTCGTCGCCCTGACTTGTCATTTATCGGTCGTCGCAGCACCGAGAGACCGGCAGAGCGGGCCGCTCCGACCCAATCCTGATAGACAGTAGAGTGGGAAATTTTCGAATTCTTCTCATTGAAACCGTATCGGGAAATAAAGATGGCCGCAGGCGGTGGCCTGTACGAAAGCGGGCTTTTATTGCGCCGGCCGCCACTCTGTATGCTGGCGGGCGCTGGCCGCCTGCGCTCTCCAGCCAGTTATGAGCGAACGCCGAGTTTTATTTGTACTCCAGCCAGATTACAGGCGTTTGTCATAGACGCCGTCGGCCACGCGCGCCTCTGGGTTTAATTGTCGAGCTGGCTGGGCCGGCCGGCCGGCGCGGGTCGTGGTCAGTTGACAGCGTCGTCTGCGCCAGCCGACGGGCGATGGAGGGGGGGGGGGGGGGAAGGGGCGGGGGCGGGAGGAGCCCCGCGATTCGTCAGATGCAGCTGCCCCCCCCCCCCCCCCCCAGCCGGCCGACCCAGACCAGAGAGCGGCGGGACATGAACTGTTTCAGCGATATGAAGGTGGTGTCTTTGTGGATTTGTTTGATCTCCGTGGCAGAGAGGCCGTGTTCGATAAGTCGAATGTTGCTCTTTGCAATCTTGAAGACCAAAAGCGTCAAGGAATTGTTGTCACATCAAAGCTAGAGTATATGCTGCGATATAGGTCGTCGATATGTTTATGAAGCAGGTCGTTACGTTTGATTGAGGTTATTTTCCACAGCCCCCGGCTATCTCAATAACTATACTGACCAATGCTCAAGATTTTTAGGTCATGGGTGTCTCAACGCTGTATTTAAGAGGGCCGTAGATAGGAACGGAACAGAACACTGATTAACATGCGCTGCACTCGAACAATGTGGATTTATTGCGGAAACGATCTGCGAGGGGTGAACGGGTCAGTTGAGCATCCACTTGCCCCAGACACTCGTGGGTCGACGACCCGCACTGGGAGCATTGCTGTTCGGGTGGCGCGTGACCAAATCATCCAGCGGCGGCAGCTCGGCTCCCGGGGGATGGGGGTGATGAGGTCAGGGCGAGGACACCTCAGCAGCGGCTGCAATAGGGCAGCGGTCGTTATGTCCAGCCGCTCACCCTTGCGCCACTTCTGGTGGAGGAACGGTATGGGCCATGAAGAAAGTTTTTTTTAGGTGTCTAGACTTGACATCTTTTTGTGAAACGGTTTTAGAATGATAAAGAACGCAGTTTTTCATGTATTGAAGCAGCAAGCTATCATCTACATTGCATTTTAGCGCCCACCGCCGCTGATCTGCTCCTTGTGTTCCGCCAGCGAGCGTGCCGCTTCTGATCGTGCTGTCTGCTGTGGTGGGAGCCATCATCGCCATCCTCTCCGTCATCCTGGTGCTGGTCATGTGCCAGCGGCATCGTCGGCCAGCCGGCAGGGCCCCAGGTAAGGCGGTCGCAGGTCGGCCAGGTCACGGTCGTCCGCCGGCGCACGACGGCCGCGATGAACCGCGCCCGTTGGTTGGGAGTTTTGATAAAGTTCAGACTTCAGGTCAGGCTAATTCACTTCGGTCGCGCTTATTTATTCATGGGCGTTCACCTGATGGATCTCGGCCCGGACTGATTGTTAAAGAGGCACGCCTCACACGGCACGGATTGCTTCGTCGCGTATGGCGGCGCGGGCTACTTCTCGGACGCGCTCTGCCGCGGGCCAGGGTCTTCTGTTCAGGAAGGGGTGGGGGTGGGGAAAGAGTTATCATGACAATGCTGGGAGGAGGTCCGGCGCATCTAAGATGCTTGAAAGATCAAAGGCGTTGATGACAAATGCGTGAAATGAACGGTTAAGTGGGAAGTATTCATTTTCGTAACCAATTAAAAGATGATCATCTTTCTAACGGTGCTGGAGAAACCCTTGTGATTGTGTAATTCATTCACATACAACAGCGTTAAAATGTTCAAAAGCGACCGACTAGGTTGTAAACTGTTCTCAGGCTGCAGCGACCTTGGGGCCGTCACTGGCGCAGCAGACACGCGGCCACGAGCCGGCCCGAAGCAGCGCTCGCGTTATCACGCCGCGTGCGATATGGCCGCGCTGAACACCATTCATTCGCGCAGGGATTTGGCAAGAGGCGGCTACCCGACGTTCTATGCATACATCAATCACACCCTTTGTCAGGCGTGATCCGCACCGACGCGTGGCTACGGCCTGCGGAAGCGTGCCGCGCGCGCTGTGCGCTAGTGGTCGGCCCTGGGCCAGATGAATGGAACGGCGCGGGCGGGGTCTGAGTCGGTATAAACTGATCAGCACGGCGGTGTTATGCGAGATAAATTGATCAGCGGGGCTGTGGTACCTGAGGTGGATTGAAGAGCGCGGTGGTATTGTGAGTTCAATGGACGCCCCCAGCCGGAGTTTGCGTAGCTGAATTCAGCCGATTCGCTGCCGTACGTTGGCTGTGCTCTCCTAGACATCATTCGTGATCAGCTCTTTCAATGTACTCCGTCGGTGGTGAGAGCTGTCTGACTTTCGTTGGAGCAGCGGTCTTTTCAGCGGTCTGGAGCAGAGACTTCCGAGTCTCTCGGGACTTCATAACGCCGGCTTCAAAATAAATTTGGATGTTCCGGGTTGAATGAACTCATATGGGCTTGACTAATGCATGCGGTGCCACAGGCATTCTGCTGCCCCTCAACCTGGTATGGACTAGCAATCATCACGGCATCCTGCGGAAATCAACCTCGCGGCCTATTTGTTTTGTAAATTTATGAAGAACTTGCTCGTTGTGCCAGCGATTGAACACACTGGCCGTGACCGCTGCTGTTGCACGGCAGGTCTGTCCATGTCTTGCCCTCTGCCAATTCATGCAATACCATGGGTGAAGAACATTGTGTGACATTCTGTGGGTGATTTCATGTTAAACCAGTGATCAGGCCACAATCAGTTTGCAGTCGGGTGGTACGTAAAGGTGGCGTTATGATGGTGCCAGGCCTTCGACCGCTGGCCTGGCCTGGCTGACTGTGGCCGACCGTCTGGAGCTTGGTGACATGGCTACCATTCGGCTGTTCAGTCGTGAAGGACGAGCACGCTCAGCCCATGCCGTGTGACATTCTTAACCTGTAGCCGGCGAGGCGTCAGCCACGGGACAGTGAAGCGATTCTGAGGGAACCCAAATGCGCTTTGGACACGACACGTTTCACCCTGGCGCCGGTAACCATTAAAAGAGCACGAACGTTGGTCAGTTAAAAGCGTGACTGCGCGCCGCCCCACCGAGGAATGTCCCTCAGCAGGGGCCAATATGTGCCGCCCCCCCCCCTCGGTGACGCTGCCAGTTAACGACACTTGTGATAGCCCGTGCGTACCATGCAGCGCAGAGCGGCGTGTCGGCAGCGGGGCCCGAGCGCCGCGGTCGTGTCGCTGACCGCACCCCTCTCCACGTCGCAGCCGACGGCAGCGAGAAGACCTCGGCCCGCCCGTCCGACCTCAGCTCAGCTGAGTCCGACCTCAAGATGGAGCTGCGCAGCTCGTCGTCGCTCTCGGGCCGCACCGGGTCCGAGCGCTGGGACGACGAGCTCTCCACCTTCCGGTACCCGGACGACATGACCGACGCCTCGTTTCCGCCCGTCAGACAGGTGCGCACGCCGCCGCCGGCGGAGCGGGCGGCAACTCGGGGTCGGCTTGGGAGCGGGAGGGCAGATGCCACACCGGTCACGTTACTGGCTGCATGCGCTAGGCTGTGGTGGGCAGCGCTGACGGTACGTGCTGGAACTGTGACTAAAAACTACCCTGTGCTGGAGTTGTTGACGGATAGATCAGGATAGCAGTGTGACGGGATAGAACTACGCAACGTAGGTCGTGCGGGCACCCTGGTGTAGCTAATTGTACGCGGCCTGACACACGCTAATACAGGATGGGTTATAAATGATGTACGTGTGGTCAGGTCATTCTCAGAGCGCGGTGCGTTTCATTCACTTCATAACGTCCTCGTAGAACACCCCAGTGTCCACCGTTTTTGCCGGCTGTCCCTGCCTACCTCTGTCTACTGTCTGGTTTACTCGTCCGCGTCGGCTAACTGCCGCCGGCGCTCGACCGCTGCCGTCCGGGCTCAGGGGGATTTCTGTTGTTTTCTGCTGTCTGCCGGCGCGCTTATTGCCTTTTATAGCGACAGCGCCGCCCGTCCGGCCGGCCCGGCGGACCGCGCTAAAAATGGCCCATTTGGCCGCCGTCAATTTAGCGTCTTCGAGGATTCTCGGCACGTGGCGATTTCATTATTCTTATCGGCGCCGGCGGGAGCCGCTGTTGCTGGATAGTGCGGCGCCGACGAGCGGCGACAACTCTGGCGCGGCGACGACGCAAATTAGGCAAACACTGCCGACAAACCCGCAGTCTAGATGGAAATTGTCGCAGTCGCCACTTATTGATGGAGACGGACGAGAGATTTTCCTGCAGGCGTGCAGCCGTTTGATTTGGCAAAATATCGGAACGCAGCTGGAGTCTCCAAGTTTCCTTCTCCCATTACGAGAAGGAACTTTATAACTCGTTTCTTTTGTTGGGCGGCGCGGCCGTGGGGTTTTTACCAAGTTCAGTATCTGCTCTTTGTTCTCGGCTTTCCAGAACTTGGGGAATAGAGGACCGGTTACTTCCAGCCGGAACAAATATTTTCTGTATCGTGAAGTGGAACTTATGTAACTCGATAAACCTTTAATTTAGTCTTTCTAGTTGGATTTTAACCGTGTGATATGCATCGTTTACGTTAACGACGCGTTGCACGGCTCTGTATGTGTTGCTTTATGTGTGTGCGACCTGCTTTAAACCTGAGTTGTGGTTATATCCTGTGGTAGGTGACATTGCCGCAGTCCGATTTTTCGTGATGGGGCCCCGTGGCCCTCCCATTGGCTACGTCCCTGTCTTCCGCACATGCACGAGGTCTGTCCCTGTGTGTTCCTGTCATGCAGCGTGGTGCATGGCAGAGGACGGCCACCGGTGCCTCTCTGGTCGGTTTTAAGGCATCCCTGGGCGTGTAGTGTGACCCTTGCCGGTTGGTGTTCCCGTCTTGCTCCCTCACAATCGCCATCGCGATGACGGTGCTTTGCTCGTTAAAACCCGTGCGTGGAGCCCCACTTCAGTGGGCGACGGTGAGTAGCTGACAACACTGTGAGCTGGCCTGTGGATCAGCAGCCTGTGGATCAACAGCCAGCCCCGTCTGTGGGTCATCTCTAGTGTGGACGGATGTGATCAGCTGATCCCCTCCTGTCCAGGCCGGTGTCAGGTCTTTGGGATCGGCACTTCACTAGCGCTACCTTACCGTTGCTTTACCGGTTTGCGTCGGCGGGTCAGTGAGGGGAAAGAGCCCGGCTACGCCGACCCTGACGCAACGCCGGTCATTTCTCTCGCCTGCTGCGGATCCCGCTTTTGTTAGGATTTAATCTGGTTGAAAGGTGAGCGGTGTTTCGGCTTTTTGTGGTCCGGCCAAGCGCGGCCGCCCTTCCACAGCGGCCCGTCTGACTGTTGTCCGCCCCAGGCTAATCTGGTAATGAAGCAGTTGACCTCGCGCGGTGTTGGCGTGTCAGGTGCCCTCTCCTTTTAGTTTGCGCTACGAAAATTCGTTAAATGGAACAACAGCTTGTAGATCGATGTGCTACGATTGTGCTCGCTGGTCGTAATTTAGTGGCGTATGGTATGTATTATTTAAATGAACTGTTTTGTACGATGGCGTAATGTCTGGCCGCGCAGAATGATTTATATGCAAAGCAGACCTGTACTCACTACCTGCTCAGCAGAATGGTTCCGCCTCGACCTCACAGTGCGTGGTATGGAATTCGACTGTAGGAGCACGGCACCATTTTTGCTCGACTTCGATCCTGGCCCGAGGACATGTGATTTATTCCGGGAATCGATCCCCACGGAGTTGGTTTCGGCCCGATAACCCGTTATGTGTGCCCCATGGAAGCCTAAATAGGACATTTATTTTGATTACACGGTCATATATGCCGGTAATCGATTTCTGGAGAATGCGCGGTGTCAGGCTATGTGTATTACCTGTTGCATGTGTATATGTTGACACGCATGTGACATGGTTCACTAAGTGGGAACTCCACTGATCAGAAAATTTAAGTGAACTTTTTTACCGTGACTCAACGAAAATTTGGTTGATTCAGGAACGGCGTCGGAATCCGCCTGGAATCGAACACAAGTTCGCTGAGCGACACAGATGGGCCCTACGGATGATTTCAGAAGCGTTTAAGACTCACGACAGAGCCTTCAACAGGCTGTAGGTCTCATTCCCCTCCCCCCTCGAAATCAACTGCGGCAAGATGGGGGTTCCCAACAGCGCATCAGAACAGTGGGCAGCGCGGGTAAGAGTCAAGAGAGTTTGATCCCATGACGTCAAGTGTCTGACGTGCCGTCCGGGGGCGCCGAGCCGTCGAATTGGACGAGACCACGTGACATAACGAGCTCGGACGCTGGATCGACAGCCAGAGTTCTGCCGGCACACCGAGCGCGGCCAAACTCGCGCGGACCCGCTCGGCCTGTCCCGCTTGTTCCCAAAGCGTCGGCCCAACGCTGGCGGGCAGCAGCAGGCCGCTGTTGGAGTGGCGTGTGGAACAGAACGCTATCTATGGCGCTGTCATGGTGTGGTACACTAGTTGGCGCAAACAAAACGTAAAGGTCATTAGAAGACAGCCAACCGCGCAGCTGGCGTTTGTTCGCTGGAGACACCTGTCTGCAAAAGGAGGCGGTACTTATTGGAGGCAGCTTGTATCACCGACTGATGGGTGGTGACAGATGATGATCATTTTTGATGTGATGTGATGTGATGATGATGGTGATGATCATCATTTTTGTGCCTTACCGCTGATATACTCATGGTGTATGTACGTGCGTGGTGGCATGTCTTCCATGAAATCCCAGGAAATGATCCGTAATTTATATCACTTTGATCTGTTCCCAACCTTTGCGTACATTTTAGCAGGAAACGGGCGTATCACAGCATTCCGAAGCTCCTTACCGTCGTTCGTCACCGACCTGCCGCTGTCCGGCAGGGCCAGAACAACACAGGCTACGTGTCGTTCCCAAACTACGACCGCGACTACGCGCCGTCGCCGGCGCTATCGCCGTACGGCGACCCGCGGCTCTCCGCGCGCTACGGCAATCCGTACCTGCGCACCACGAGCCTGAGCAGCCTGCCGCCGCCGGCCGGCTACGGCGGCCGGGCGGGCGCGCCGGCCGCGCGGCTCGCCACGCACGTGTGACCCGCCGCCCGGCTGACGGCCGCCGCGTGACAGCCGCCCGCTGCCGAGGAACGCGTGGCTTTCCGCACGGGCGGGCAGCGCGCGGGGCCGGCGAGGAGGCGCGCTCGGACGTGGGGCGGCGGCGGCGGCGCGGCCGGCGCCCGCCGCCAGTGCCGCGGCATGATCGCCGCCGGAAACGGACGGCTCAGAGGACCGGAATGTGGTGTCAGCTGTTGGCTCGGCCAGGTGGAGACGTCACGGCCGCTGGCCGGCCTGGTTGGCCGGCACCGCGGCTGTCGACCGCGTGGATGTCGTGTGACGGTGGACGTGGAGCACTGCCAGTGGTGTGCCTTGTGGACGTGTCTTCCTGTCTGTTGTCAGCTAAGAGCATGTACACAGTGTTTGCCTGCCGGGCGCCTGACATTGGCGGCGGCGGCGGCTCGATGCCATTGGATGTGCTGGAAGTCTTATGATCTAGTCAGTAAAAGCTGGATTTCACGCAGGAACGTCTTGAATCCGGCCGTAGCGCAGTGCTGCTTTTCTCCTCTCATAAGCGATTGTTTAGTTTGCTTTTCGCGCCGCGTTGAAGAGCGTGGTTATCGAGATCGTCTGACTATGGAGAGCGCATTTATATGTACATTTCCAGGCCAGTAGTCGCGTGAGCCCTGCCAAAGACGCTATCTGTGTAAGTGCCGCACGTGTGTGATGAAAAGAGTGGCCACGGGACGGCCCGGTATCGAACCAGCCGGTGGCGTCCCTGTGCCGCCAGTTTTATATTCCCCGAATAAAGCTTTACTTCATATCCTGAAGACCGACGAGGCAACCAGCTGCTTTTGAAGTGCGTGGCCCGTGCGGATGCGTTTCGGGCACCGCCTTTCGCCGCGAAGCCAAAGCCTGAGAGCTTTTGCGAAATCCCATCTGGTATGGCAGCATTCAGTCGCCAGAGAACGCGCTCGCTGACATGCGACGAGGTAGTAAACACCCGTCTCTGAGTCCACATAGGTGGAAGGTGCCACGGAAATGTAATGCAGATTTCAATGCGGAAATGAGCCTCCATCAGGTTTGACTGCGATTCGCGCCAGTGCAGTGATGGGACGGATAGGACGCTGGTTGAAGACTGGAGAGCTGCCGCCGTCGACGACGCCACCTATAACGGCGGCATTTACGTACCGACGCCATCTAGTAGGGTGTATCGAAATTTTTGTAGATGACACGGCACATTTTCTTCCACCATAAACGTATCACTGTTCGGTCGCTTGAAAGTGAACAAAAAGGCGGATTTTCAAAATTTGTCCGTACCGGGTCTCATTATCTGAGATTCCGTGGCCCGGAGCGCTTTAGCAGCGCGTGGGCGCGATGACTTCTGTTCTCTGGAGTCCTGGATCAGACGCTTGGGGATGTCACGTGCGCACCGGCTGTCGGGGCCGTTTCGCGCTCAGATATACTAGGTCTGAGTCTAGAAATGAGTAAGTGTAAATTTGTTCTGTGTTTTCCCGCATTTCAGCTAATGTTGGAGACACGACTTGCTTCGGCTGCATTTTGCGCAGGATCGATTACAGTCGCGGGGCGGCAGAAGTACAAGCGATCTCCTGTCTCAAGGAGATGTTTCAATTTTGCAGGGATTTTAAGATCAACCTTGTACCTCTCAACCTTGTGCTTTCCAATGTATAATCATGACTTTTTAAGACCAGCCAATCTCGTTTTTGTCCCTGCAAGCAACTTGTTTGACACGCCTGGATATTTGAAGCCTTTTTTCATGATGTTCAATTATTTCACACCTGGATATTTGAAGAATCTGCGAATATCACGTGATCAATAACAACACCCAGTCATCGACGCGGTCGCTGTCGCCGTCAGTGCTGGTCGGCTCTCATTTGGATATGATGCGACGCGCAACACGAAGCAACGAAGTCGCACGTTTTGTCGCATAACCATATTTCTAGACTCAGACAGGAACAGGGAGCATGACTGCGTCTAGCACTCGCCATTTTAATTGCACTTTGTCGATACCTCATACCCATAAAGGTGGACATCTATTAAAATTATGTCTGGCCTGCCCACCATAGAACTGGCGATCAACCGGAATTCGCGGGACACCATACGCATCGTCTGCGAGCCTTCGCGACCGTAAGAACTACACAAAAACGTCTTTAGATATTGGCGGAGATGTCTGGTGACGATAGCCAATGACTCCTGGATCACGGCTCGTGTACCCTTTGAATCGTAGCCAAAGCATGACAATTCCAGAATGGCGCTGGATGTAGGCGGGACACAAATGGCACAAAAACGACAGAGCGCTTCGAACACTATGCAAAGAAAACAAAGTGACCTCAAAACTGCAGTGGGAACAAGCAATAGGCGGAAATAAGCAAAGTAGGTGAAAATATTCGCATCGTTGAGATGCGCAAACCAGAAGAGTACAGTAAACCAGTGCGTACAGACAACCCAAACCTCCCTTCCGAGATGTATTGTCAACACCTGTGACCCGACACACAGGATCATCGTATATTTGCCTTGTTCCAAATGGGGCGCAGAGAAAGGCATACGAAAACATGCAAAAAACCCTACGGACACACGCCCAGCGTTTGATGTCTCCATCAACGCTTCATACACGTCACCACAGCCTCGTGCCTGCCCCAGCCAAGACCACAGCCTTGCTACCGCCTGCTGTGGTCCATGGCGAACTGCCGATACACCTGGTCATAGTCGGACACGCGCGGCTTGACCGTGCTCAGCGCGCACTCAAAGTCCTCCTGCGTCACGCACACGGCCTCGATGTCCGCCTGCAGCGCCAGCAGCGCCGCCTCGTGGCACACGGCCGCAACCTCGGCGCCCGAGTAGCCCTCGGTCCTGGCGGCCAGCCAGGCGGGTGTCACGGCGCCGCCAGCCGGCATGGAGGCCAGCCGGAGCCGGGCGATCTCGGCGCGCGTCTCGGCGTCCGGCAGCGGCACGTGCACCACGTGATCCAGCCGGCCGGGCCGCAGCAGCGCCGGGTCGATCAGGTCCGGTCGGTTGGTGGCGGCCACCACTGTGACGTCACGCAGCGCGCTCACGCCGTCCATCTCGGTCAGCAGCTGCGCCAGCACGCGCTCGGCGACGCTGTGGGCGCCACCGTCGCCGCGGCGCACCGCCAGCGCATCCAGCTCGTCGAAGAAGACGACTGCTGGCGCCGACTGGCGCGCGCGCCGGAACACGTCCCGCACGGCGCGTTCAGAGTCGCCCACCCACTTGCTGAAAAGCTCGGGTCCCTTGATCGAGATAAAGTTCAGCCCACTTTCGGTTGCCAGTGCCTTGGCGATCATCGTTTTGGAGCAGCCGGGCGGGCCGTACATTAGCACGCCCTTAGGCGGCGCCACGCCCATGCGCAGGAACGCCTCCGGGTGGCGGATAGGCCAGTCGACTGCTTGCTGCAGGCGCAGCTTGAGCGCCACCTGACCCCCGATGTCGCTCCAGCGCACATTGGCCACCTCCACCAGCGCCTCGCGCATGGCGCTGGGCTTGACGCGGCGCAGCGCGGCCAGCAGGTGGTGCTGCTCGGGCGCTGCCGCGCCCGCCTCGGCCGCCAGCAGGCCCGCCTCGCGCACCACCGCCTGCAGGTCTGCACCGACATAGCCGTGCGCGGCGGCAGCGGCGGCGGCGAGCGTGGCCGGCGGGGCGTCCGGCAGCAGCGCGGCCAGGATCTGCTGGCGCGCCGCCGGCCCGGGCACGGTCAGCTCCAGCTCGCGATCGAGGCGGCCGGCGCGGCGCACGGCTGGGTCCAGCGCGCCCGGCCGCGCCGTCGCCGCCACCACCACCAGCCCGTCGGCCGCGTCCAGCAGCGAGACCAGGCAGGCGAGCAGACGCCGCTGCCGCTCGCCACCGCCGCCGTCCGCCCGGCCGGCCAAGCTCTCCACGTTGTCGAGGAAGACGACGGCCGGCCGGCGGCGCTGCGCCGCCGCGAACCGCTCGCGCAGGTTCTCCTCGGTGCCGCCGTGGAAGCGGCTCTGCAGCTCGGCGCAGCGGATCACGTGGAAGCGGTCGCCGTACAGCGCTGCCAGCGCCGCCGCCAGCGAACTCTTACCGGTACCGGATGGGCCGTACAGCAACACGCTGCGCGGCGCCCGGAGACCGGAGCGCGGGGCGTCAGGCCGCCACTCTGCTAACAGGCTGTCAATCATGGCGCGCAGGTAGGCGAGTGGCTCGTCCAGGCCGCCCAGGCGTGGCGCGGCCGGCGGCGGAGGCGGCGCAGAGTCCATCGCGTCGCCGACCGTGACCTCTGTTTCCTCGACCACCTCCACCAGCCGGTCGTCAGTGCCGCTGGCCGTGGGCTCGGCGCCCGCGGCGGCGCCACGGCCCGCCCGGTCGCCGTCCTCCCCCGACACGACCAGCCGCGACATACGGCCCGCCAGCTCGTCCCCGCCGCCGGCCTCGGCCGCCTCGGTCACCGTCAGCAGCAGCGGCGTGCCCATGAAGGCGGTAGCGTACCGGTGGCCGGCGGCGAGCACCAGGCCGAGCAGCTCGCCGCGCAGCTGCTCCACGAACGGCCTGCTCGCTGCGAACGGCAGCGGCGCGTCGGGCTGCAGCCGGAGACGCGCCGCCGGCAGCAGCGACGCGCGCAGCGGCCGTACCTCGGGCGCCGCGTCGAGCGGCGCCAGGCGCGGCGCCGTGCGCGCGGCCAGGCCGACGAGTGCCGGCGACGCGTCCAGGCAGCGGCCAGACGCGGCAGACGGCGCGGCGCGCACCGCACGAGACCAGTGCGCGGTCGGCGGCGCGCAGGCCTAGCGCCGCCGCCGTGGAGGACGGCAGAAAGCAGAGGGCGCGAGCCCAACCGGCCGGTGCAGCACAGTCAGGCGGAGGGTCGAGCCAGCCACTGCCGCGCAGCAGGTCGCCTCGGATGAAGGCCGAGTCCGGGGGCGAGCGGCAGCACTGGCCCTCTGGTTCATTCGACAGCGCCCATGTGTCACACTGGCCACAGAGTGCCCACTGAGCAGACTGTCTGCCCTTCTGGGGAGTGGCAGGTGTTTTGGTTCGGCTTTGCTTCTTTTTGCTTGACATTGTGAGCCTGTGAGGAGGAATGCATGCATGTAACAATGGGACACACAGTTCTAATGGAACAAACATTACTATCAATCATGCAAATAAGCAGTTTGGCATGGATGTCCTTTTATAAATTTGCAACACACAGCAAATATACTTATGCTATGCTAATTTGCAAAATATGATAGAACTTCAAACCATCCTGGTGGTAGTGGCAATAATGATCACCTGTGGCTCACTGCAGTCTGCTGCCAGGGGCTGACATAGAAGCTATTTGACCCACAGCTATTTCATGACCTTGACCATAACCATACAATTATAAAAAATTGAAGGTAAGATCATGAATCTACCTGTTTTGTGATTATTTACGATATGTTCCACCTTAAACACAACAAATGGTTTACCTTGGTCCTGTACATTTTGTAGAGTTCTTGGTAAGCAGAAATATTGTATTTACGCAACAGCAACGCAGAAACGACGCTGGGGAGTCCAGGCGGTGCGGTGCGCGCGGCGCTCGGGAGCCCGCCATCAAAGTTATTGAAATTCGAAGGTAGGAGCATGATTCTACCTGTTTTGTGATTAATTACGATATGTTCTGCCTTAAACATGACAAATGGTGTACAATGACTTTTTCTAACGTTAGGTAGGAAAGTACACCCTGACCATCTAAACTCTTACCTTGCAACTTAATGACCACAACAGAGAACATCCGAGCGCTGCAAACATACAGAACCCCAAGGACCATACGAATGTACTGAGCCAAGGTAACAAGAATCCAATGAAATGTATTTCTTGTGTATCCAAGCAGTCCCCCACATTGTTTATAGATTTGTTGACATGGGAGGCAAATATGATGTTCTTGAGTGGGGAATGAAAAGCAAAGTGATAACACAGCAGCAAAACAAAACTTAATATGCTACACATATATGACATGGAACATGAATGCCAATGGGACATTGGGTTGAAGGGGATAGGGTGGAGAGATTTGGTTAGGTTAGGTTAGGTTGGGTTAGGTTAGGTCAGGTCAGGTCAGGTCAGGTCAGGTCACATCAGGTCACATCAGGTCATGTCTGGTCAGGCCAGGTCAGGTCAGGTCAGGTTAGGTTAGGTTAGGTTAGTTGAGGCTAGGTTCTGGTTTATTCTGGTGTGGCTGTTGCATAAACTTACCTACACACAGAAATAAATGTATTTCATTGCATTGGTCTGTTACCTCATCCCCTGTACATTTTTAGTATTCTTGATGTGCAGTAAAGTTGTGACCACATACCAAAAAGTTAAGGAAGTTCTGATTTCAATGTGCACTTAATACCTGAATCAGGAGATAGTAACTGCAGAAGACTCCCAAGACTGTCATCGAAAGACTCAATCACTTAAAGGAGATGAACAAGATTTTGGAGCATACCAGCCACTGCCTTCATTTCGCCCATCCGACTCAGTAAGCTTAACTGTTGTCATAATAGGCCTTTTAGGACTTTTTGCATTGACTCATGCCACCAAAGACAATTTTGAGAACACCTTGACAGGCGGCATGGGGAATCCCGTTACCCTCTGGCAACACCATATCTGGAACAAGCTTGCTTACCCGCATACGCTAGCCTGTTCCAGCCGTCACTCAGATTGCAGCGCAGCCCGGAGTTCAGGGTCTTCCTCACCGCAACCGGCAACAAAACACACGTGCAACCAGGGCCCTGAAATGATTGTGCGGGCACCATGGATTGTCGCAAAAACACCCTTAAGGTCTACAAAAGGTACTATAATTTGCTGCCTGATTTTGCGTTATGAAGACTTGCATCCAAGCGGTGGACGTTGTGGACCTAACCGAGCAACGTAAATTTGTTCTTTTCATGAACTTTTAGTTACATAGTCACACCTTTACCCATGAAACTATTTGTTTTCAGTAAAAGTTGTGCGTTGTTGACCAACAGGAACAAAAATGATAAGCCGTATTTTGGTATCTAACGGCTTATATATGCACACACAGTTGCAGGGATGACCTAGGGTCAAACAAAGAACGAAAAACCCTTTGCATAGATAACAGATGTGGCATCATCCATTTCCAATGATATGATAAGATATTAGCAACAATCCTTTTCAACATGTGGTGTGATGACGCGTGGCGGCAGTTTTACAAAGCTGAAGTAAAAGTTCTATTCCGAGATGTCACTACGTGCCCACGTATACGACACGTATGCCGTTGGCCATTGCGATACGGTGCGTTGACATCAGTCTTGGGCTTCAGGTGTGGTGCTACGGATGCCAAGCTCTCGGGGCAAGATTTTCGAGAGAGCCTCCTGGGCAAAATGGAGCCTTCTCACAGGGAACCCTTGTGGGCAGTGTTTTGCTTAAGCGGGAGGTGCACTAAGGGCTTGCGCCTCGTCTTGACTTGCGACATGTATATTTGACAGTGCAAAAATCCAGAGAAGTGTCTTCTGATTATCGTGCAAAGGGTCTAACTGTCTGTAAAACAAAACCTCCTTTTTCAGAAAAAAGCCTTCGGGTGCAAGTGGCGCGTGCGACCGACAGATAATTTCGGAAAATTGTCAAGAATGTTGGAAAAATCCGTGGTGGCGTTCGGCCCTGCCAACGCGGATATCATAACATATTTGCATTCTTACCCAGGGAGAATTCCTGAAAATGTCCAGAGCATGGTCTAGACGGAGAATCTTGTTTCGCTTAGCACGAGTTGTAACTGTTGGCTGTGAATGGCGCATGGAATCGAGTCCGGGGAAAAAATTTCCGACCTGCCGAACGTAGGTCGAGGATTTTCGTGGATGAATATCGTAGAGATGATTTTTGCTTGAATAATTCTCCCTCGGCCGAACGATTCTTCCTCGGCATCTAGGGATGGCCTAATCCAGAACAGGATCCCTACGATTCATAAAGGCACCTCCAAATCTAGGACAAGAGGCCTTGTTATCCCGATACTGGGCATCCTGATCCGGGATCACGGCCATCTGATGAATGGGAGAGGCATTCCGTTTCCTGAATGATGCCCTAAACATAGATGGAGGGGCCTAGGCAAGAACAGGGGCCTCACAGTTCGTGACAGAGCCTCCTGAGCACGCAAAAGAGACTCCTGAACACAGCATTGGATTCAGTGATTTAGAGCATGGGATACCTTTTTCAGAAAGGTGACCTCGGTGACCTTGTGAAACAGAAAGCGGGCTCTCGATGAAAAGGGCGCTTTGAACTCAGTTCATTACTCACTAGTTTGATTATGGGTGCCTCATCGATCTGAGTTTTGATAATCTACGGGTAGTTACAATGTCTTAAGTCAGGGAAAAACGCGCCTTCCAAAACGTAGGTATGGAATCGCGTAGGTATCGAGTTCCGGACCGGTTCACATGGCGTGACAAGCCAGGACCAAAGGGTCATGGCCCTTCAATCTTTTGTGGACTCTTGACATAAGCTCTATGGAGAGGCATAGAAAGTGTGAACTCATTAAGACATTAGATTAGACTCGCACTTTTTGGGGCGTTTATATGCCCCTGTCCGCTCACCGCCACTCGCCGGGTGCTCCTAAGCGCGGATCCAGGATCCAGCGTGGGGTAGGGCAGTTTTTTTGGGCGCCGGGTCCTGCTGCTGAAACGATAAAAACCATATTACTATATATGCATTCAATAGGCCATAGATGGGCATGGTCCTGTTGTCTCTCGACTCCCCCTCCCCCTCACACATCCCTGGATCCGCCTATTAGAAGGCCGCGTCTTGAGACCCAGCAGTGCACCGGTCACCTCGGCGGCGTCGACCGGCCCGCCCAGAACTCGGGCACCTCCACACAGACACACAACACCCACCTTGCCACTTGACAGCGCGCTGAGGTCACCGTGCGGCGTGCCCCAGCGACCCGCCAACCTCCCCCCGCCGCCTCCATCCCCCTCACATCATCGCCATCTGGACCTACGGGATCACCACCTCGCATTATAATATTGTGAATGCCTGGAAACCCGTCTAGCCACATTTGTGCATGGCTGTTGTCTTAATTAAGGGCGAAGCTGCAGACAGACGAAACCAACTTCCTACAGGTGTGCAGTGAGAAGATTTTAGTCGGAGTGGTTCAGTCTCACCGTCTCTCTTTTCAAGAAAATAATGATAAGAACCTAGAAATCGATAAGAACGTGAGAAAATAACACCTAGAACCTAGACAACTGTTCTTGGCAAAAGTTCACATGATCATCTAAGGTCGGTGACCTTTTTGACCCCTTGAAGGTCATGGTGA